CGACAGCGTTCGAGACCGCGTTCGAGGATTTCCAGGAAAGAAGTCACACGGAGGAAAAGGAAAAAAACGAAATATAGAACAAAGATACAGCGAATTTTGGGAATATGTAAAAATATTTAAATAAGCTGGGATAAGGGAGGGAAGTTTCTCCCGTCGTTGTATACCGTCGAGTATTCGATCTGTGGTAGATAATATCACGAATGCGGCGCTACGTCCACCACCCCTCGTTCTTCCGCCTGCGTAAGCTCATAGCTGCTGACGCCGATGGCGCCGGCGTACCGACGGTTCGCTCAGTGACAGACGTTGGTTTATCGTCAGTTCGAGAGTTTGCGGCCACCACCGGTGTCCCTTCTCGTGAAACATGTATCGATCGAAGCGCGTCCGCTTAGAGACGAAACTTCCCTTCGTTCGTTCCTCTTGCTTGTTCTCGAACGTGAGAATTATTTAGTCGCTATAGCATTATATACTTTTTCGATATTAGGTTATGTTAAATTTCGAGCCACAGGTTACTATCAATTACGGTGAAATTGTCTTTCCTGTAGCTGTCTGACATATCACTGCACGAAACTACTTATTTTTATTCTATCAATAATAATCGAACATAATGATGTTTGCCAGAATATGTAAAGTACTCTAGTACTTCGCGAAAACGTTACTCTACTTTGTTTTCCTTATCTGTCTGAAATGTAATTCTTGTAGCAGTGAACGACTTATGTATATTCGATTGATCAAGCACGATCAAACATTATACTTCCAAGAATGTGTAAGATACTTTAATACTTCCCTAAAACATTGCTTTACTTTATTCTGTTTCCCTTAACTCTCTTTGCAATGTGATTCCTGTAGCATCGAACGAAACTATTTACATATATTCAATTCATCAATGATAATCAAACATCGCGATATTTCGAATACCATGGACGATACTATGGACTCAGAGATACCAGTTTATAAATGATCTTTCCGGTGACGCGATTTTTTGATTAATATCGGGGCTGAGAGCGAACGAAGGAAGCGAAAACAGACGCGCAACAGGTGAGAGAGATTATTCTCTCTGCACGGGCGCGCGCACGTGTCGAATCTGTTTGAAAGCGGTGTTCGATTGCTCCGGCAACTAAACCGGGTGAACGGTGGCCCGCAAAGTTCCGGACTGGGTTTGCTACGGCAAAGGAGCAATTTCCTGTGCCACCGCGCCAGTTGCCACCACCTGTAAGAGCGCGCGTGCCGTTCAGCTATACGCGCCTCTATACATGCGTGCGTGTGTCCGGTTACGAGAGGCACACGCGCGTCTGCGCACGCGCAAACGATCTTTTTCTCGCGGGCGTCGTGTAACCACCTGATGCCCTATTTGGGGCCACGCACTGCCACGCGACCATTCTCTGTCTCTTTTTCTTTTCCACATGCACGCCTCCGTTTGTCCCTCTCTCTTTTCCTCTTCTCCTCTCCACCCCTCTTTTCAAAGCTTTCCTCTAGCTGCGATTCAAAGTATTTTGTTTGGCTTGTTCTCGATCGAAGGGTTTGCGACAATAAAGAAACAATATTCGAATTGTAGCTATTTATGGGAAGAGAGAGGTATAGGTTTCATATTCAAAAGCTTTATTGCTACGACTTTTAGTCGACAAATACCAAAGTGATAAAGTCCACCTTTTATGAAGTTTTCAATTTTATTAAATTAGCGTTGTATATCTCAAGCAACGAGAACTAGTTTCACAAATTTCTTTATCACAATACATGATTGTAAATTCTAAGATAAATTCTTAAACATAATGTTCGTTGCTGTTATATTTTTCCACAGTTTAATTTATGGAGTTAATCGACTAGTCTTTGAGCGACCCGGTTTATAGCACCTTTCAAAAAAGCGATCCAATCCTGATTGCATCTGTTGATTTACACAAATTATCGGAAAGTGGAGCTGCCTCAACCACTTCAATCTTTTTTTTCGCCATTCGAACGATGCTGAGTTGAAGTTTGGAACTGAACGATCGGAGAGTCGAATAAATTACGATGACTAAAAAAGGCTGCATTTGCCATTGTCGATCCCCAGGTACCAGGTAGTAAAAGACACAAGGCAGTAGGAGACAGGAGATCGGTATAAAACGAGCGCGTCTGTGTTTCTCGATTTGCTTGTTATTCCGTTGCTTAAACTTCGTTCCCTTCTACTACTTCGATTTCTCTTCCATACAATGCGTTCGTCTTCGTCCATTCGTTAAATCGTTGTCTTTCCATGTTGTATTAATTCCTGGCCCGTTTTACCACGCAAACTCGCGACACGCGCGCGTGGAAATTGAGACTCGTAAACGGAAGCGATTTCATACAACGGAAGAACATTTATCGGGCAACGTGCGTTCACTCGTGATGGAAGCTGTCAGTGACTTCTCAGATAAAGGCACTTTAACCCGGTAAATTTTCAACAGAGGGAGAAGGAAACAGAAAACTGATAAATGCATATTGTTTTCGTTGTTGTTCGGAAAATTGGCAGATCGTTAAAGCTTTACTTGGTTAGCTTCGATTTTATCACGTTGAAATAATTTTCTGCACATTATCGCGACACTTTTCCTGAAAACGCAGGCGTTTCAAATCGATGGTTGAATAGTCGCGGCGACAGGTTGCGCGATATTATAATGAGTCAGTGCCATATATAAGTTCATAAGAAGCCTTTCGAGCGCGTTTAGGCGTTACGTTAGCGGATACGCGGCCGATTCGCGATCGTGCACCAATCTGTTTCCCAGTGAATTTTCGACCGCGTCGAAAGCCAAGTCGCTTATCTAACTCGGCAGAAACTCGAGCCAAGAAAGCTGTTCTGTACGACGCAACGCCTCTTGAGCTTCGAACGAGCACATGTTAGCTGGTGGAAACCAGAATACAGAAATTTCAAAGATTACGGCATTCCGAAAATTCGAAGTAGCGTCCGAGTGACAACA